ATATATATATATATGTATATATATCTCCCAGTGAGAGACTCGTGCCACAGAGTGTTGTTGAGCACAGCGTGGTGGCCACAGTCCCCATCATTGTGGCCCTTTTGTGTCTGGCTCTCACAGCCTTCCCAAGACAGGACAGGGCTCCTTCCAGGGCCAGAATAGTAAGTTGGATGGAAAAAAACAAAGCACTCACCTAGAGAACGCCCCCTCCAGGAGGAGCAGGAACATATCCTCCCACCATTGGAACCTGAGAACAGAGAAGAAAGTCCCACACCCACTCCAGGCAAGTGAGGGCCAGATGCAGCTCCCACCCACTTCTCCTAGGCCCTGGTGGAAGGGGGCTGACAGCTCACTCCCAGTCTGGCCATGTGTATGCCACTCACGGAGAGTGGAGACCTCAGAGGACAGCCGTTGGCTCAGCTCTCTCTTGGCCACATGCTGCTGCTGTGCCTGAAGTGAGAACTCACTGTGGTCAAGAGCTGATCATGGAGGAGGAAAGGTCATGGCCATTTGATGTCACTGAAGAGAAATGAAACAGATCATCCACCACCATGAAAGGGTAAAGGGAACATGCAGCAAAGCTCTCCCCAGAGATACCTTGGCTTCCACCATACAAAGGAGGAGGTGGTACCAGACCTCTGCAGATCCCTCTTCTGAACACCAAGCACCCACACCTGTGTCCAGCTTCACCAGCGGGACACCAAGGTAGACAGGTACGTGGTGCGTGCTGGAGCTGTTGCTTGATGGCAAAGCAAACCCCAGGGACTGGGTTTTTTTAATGAAAGAACTTCAGCTCCATCCTTTCAAGCCTAGCGCAGTTGCCCATACACAGTAGGCACTTACTCAATGCTGGTCACACCAAGGGAAACCCTGGGAGTGGCCTGTGTTTTAAGACTTCTGTCCACATCTGACCCTGAGCCTCTAGGTCTCTAGGTTTCCACAGTCCCCACCAGCCACACAAGACTGTGGGTGCAGCACCTTGAGACACACAGTCCCTCTGAGTGCATCTCTCCAGTGCTGCAGGAAGCTCCCAGCCCATGTGGGTCTGTGTCCTGGTGAAGCATCACCCTCCTGGTGAGGAAGTATTGGCTCAGACCTCAACAGCACTGTGGTTAGGGGACCCAGGACCTCTGGTCTGATTACCTCACTTGAAAAAGATGTCTACAAAGATGTTCTTAGTGGTTTATTAATGGGCTTCCTACCCTGATCAGCCTCTCAAAAAATGAAAAACCGAATTTTCCTTTAAAAAAAAATCAGATTCATCCAACAGATGAAGGAACCATTTTCTACAGGCTATGGGGTACAGTAGAGATAAGAGTAAAATCTACTCGCAGCCACCACCTTCTCCTGGCTTTGGAAACTGCAGTGTAGAGCTGGCCGGCTCCTTCAGACCAACTTCTGTCACACTCATTTCTAATCACTGTGGCACCTGAGCCTCCCCACCACCCCACCCCACCACCCAGATTCCTCCCTGTCACCTGCAGAGGAGCTATGGGGCAGCAGATTTTTGGAGTTCCCTATCATAGTGAGAAAGTCCAAGCTCCGCACAATTTTGGGGGTCCTCACAGCTTTGGGGTCTGACCTGGTGGCAGGGGACAGAGAAGGCTGAGCACTGAGCAGTCACTAGCTGGCATTCCGACCACCTCTGCTTGCAGACTAAAGCTCCGGCCATGTCGACAGGTCCCGGGCACAAGCTGTGACACAGGGACAGTGAGGACGGGGTAAAAGCATCTCCTTTAACTGTCACTTCATAAAAAAGCTCCAGGCCTGTTTTTCTGGCAGACGACAGCCACTTCCAGGCCTATTCGCTCCAGCCCTGTGCAGAGTAAAGCAGATGTTCTCTGCACCAAACATTCTCATTTCTAGAGGTCCTCGCAGGAGAGCCAGAAACTCATTATCGTAGGCCTGAAGACTGAGGGAAGCAATGGGGCCCTGGAGCTGGAAAGCCAGAGTCCTTGTCACTTGGTGCTGGATCAGTGAATACATCTATGTAAGAATGGAAAAGCCTCAGTGTCTGGCTGCCTGGATAGGAAAGAAAACTCAAAGCCGTGTTTGGGCCAATGCACTGCTTTTATTTCCATCCAGAAAACATCAGAACACAAGGTGAGAGCTACCAGTTCCTCTGGGACACATGTACTCAAGCAAAGCCATGGTTGGCAACACACATGCTTAAAGTAGGGGCTCACCTCCAGAGGGGTCTGTGGGGGTGCTAGTGACTGGCCCCATATGTGAGCAATTCAAACTAATGAGTGGATTGCCTGACTCCCAGCTCAACTGAAAGCCACCAAGACCAGGTTCAGTGTCTGTGCCAAGGGATGCCAAGGCATTCATGAAGACTCATTTCTGGCTTCCTAAAGGCTTTGCTGGCTACTGCTTATTTCCAGTTTATAAATTCACTGTCTGCCCAGTTTGGGCACCTCATAAACCCAGTAAGCTGCTGGGAGCAGGGCACACAGTTCAAACAGACACCCAAACACCTGTTGTTCTTGTTAAGTAAAAACAAGTTAATAGTCACAGCAAAACCATGAAAGAAAACCACAAGTGACCTAAGGATTTCTGACTCACACCCACAGCCGGGTTACTTTGTGACATTCCACCAAAAGCCATCAGCCACCTGCAGGGCCCTGAAAACTGCTAATCAGCAGTGCTTTTGTCTTCCTTGCAGGGTAATTACCCCTGAGTGCCCTGCCCCCAGATGGCTCTTGTCTTCAGAAAAAGAAAAAAAGAACAAAAAAACCACCTTCCCCCTAAGCCCAAGTGACTAAGCCAAGCTGGCAGGGACCCTCCCTCCTGCCGTAATTGTGGGAAACCTCTTGCAAAACAGTTTTCTCTGCCAGATAAACTTTGTTTGTTCCCAGCAGCTAAGTGCCACACCCCAGAGAGCTGGTGAGAGATTTCCTTTAAGAAACCTTAGCAAACATCAAGAAGGGTCGCACCTCTGTGCCCTGGAAGAGCTGTGCAAAGTGACACCCTGACAAAGACTGCTTCACAAAACATCTTCCAAGGCTGGCACAATTCAGGCACTTCTCAAGAAACTGGTGTCATCGCGAAGCTCAGGCCCACGAACGGCAGTCTCCTGTGGGCAGAGGGTCAGCCACACGCCAGGCACAAGGCAAGGCCCATTCCCCGAATGAAGGCTGGGTATCATGAGTCTAGCAAGCCAGGGACCGTGGGGCCAACCAGGCCCCGTTGTCATCATGGAAGGGGTGGCCAGCTCTTATCACACAGCTCTGTCTTGTGGGTCACAGGCCGGCGGGGCCTGGGCCACGAGCCAAAGGCTGCTCTACATTTTGAGCTATGCCAGAGTGGCAGGGCACAGCAAGTCACCTGTTCCCAAGACTGGGACTCCCTGGTGCCACCAGAGTCTCCTCACATAAGGGGCAGATGGTGCCACAGCTCCACCTCTAGGGCCCACCACCCCCTAGGCTTCTAGAACCTTCCCCTACCTCACTACCTTGCCCTGCACCTGCCTGGGCTCCCTGTCCCCAGGTTCCCCATGGAACTCCTCTGATCCCTAAGCTTTGGACACAGTGCTCAGGGCCTCCATGCCAAGGCAGCAGCTAGGAGTGCAGAGAAGACAGGCAGGGTAGAAATATAAAGAGGAAACCTGGGCTGCAGCCTGAGAAGGGGCAGAGGCACCCATGCGGAGGAGCAACCCCGCTGTGTGCTCATGGTCTGACCATCTTGTTCCCTGCACACTGAAATTCCCCCGTAGAATCATGTGTCTTGCACGTCTCAGCTGATTGTTATTCGGGGTGAGTCTCCGGGATATTAACTTGCATCCAGCACCTTATCAGCTTCTCAATTACCATTCCAGTATATGGTCTTTGGATACATGATCAGAACTGCTTAAGAAATGGGCAGTTCCACTCCCCCATGGAGATGAAGAACTACATGTCCCTGGCCACTTGGAGCCCCAACTCAGTCCCCTGGACGGGACACTCCAGCCTGTTGCTCCACGGCACCACCCTCTGGCGTGCAGAAGAACAGATGACTTCTCCCTTTCCTGTTGGTGCCTCTGGAGGCCAGGGCCCCAGGAAGAGGAGTCTGGAGGGTCTCACATCTAACCCTGTGCTCAGGGTGGCCCTAGACCCTGAGATGTTCCAAGAGAAGGTGGTGGTGGGCAGTCCCAGGGGGTTGGCCCTGGAGGGAATCAGGCAGCCTCCCTGATCGGTTCATTAGGTATCACCAGCCCTGCCTGGGGTTGTGCTGGCTGCCAGAATCGTGCCTTTAATTAAGACATTTCTATAAATCCTTTTCATGAATTTTTAAAAGAAATAAACCTAAACTTGAGAATCATAATGTTGGGCTTCCCTGACACTCAGAATCACCCATGAGGCTCTGAACTCTGCAGTTAGGAGGGGGAAAAAATGGCTCTGAACCTGAAGAAAAATAAATTCACCTCAACAAGCTCACGCTGCTTGTCTAGACACCCTGAGGACTGCCTTCCTTGGACTCTGTGTACTCAGAATTATGTGTAAAGTGACAAATTTGACATCCCATGGAGGGAGCGTCCAGCCTGCTGGCTGAGGGTTCGGTAGAAAGAGAAGCCACAAGTAACCAGCTAGTGTCCTGGGGGTTGCACTACCCCTGGGTGATTGATACGGCTTTTACCTAAAACACAGATGCTCTAAGAACAGGATACGCTAAAGGTGAAAATAATAAAGACTTTAATAAAATCTTTAAGGAGCCAAGAAAGTTTGTGGGATGTTCTACAAAGAGCTTCTCCCCAGGCATGATACCATTAATGTTCTTTCCACAGGACTCACACAAGGTAAATGCTCAACATTCATTCATTTTCTTCTTCCTTTCTGGCCCAAGTAACAAGTCTCTCTTTACTTCCGGAATCACAGAAGAATGTAAAAGGCAAACACCGACCTTCTCACCTCCAGAGCCCCCGCTGAAGAGGCTGTCTGTCCTTGGCAGAACCGATCTGCAAAGCAACTTCGCAATGTGAGCTGAGAGCCTCATCCTTCCCTGCAACAACCCGCCTGGCAAACCATTGGAAGGGGAAAGTCAGAAATTTGGGCTTCTTTTGCAGAGTTGTTCATTGAGGCTTTATATGTAGCTGTAAAGAGCTGGCCTCAGTGCCCGTGTCCCACAGTATGGGAAGGGTTAAATAGGCACAGAGCATCCATAAGGTGGCATGTACTGTCCAAACTTCAATATGGCATTTCAAGACTATTTAATGATGGCAAATACAGTTATGATACAATGCTAAATGGAAAGCTACAGGACAAAGTTATATGCATAAGGAATTCCAAAATGACAAAGTTTCACCTATGTGTACATATACTGAGAACTGGAAAGAAACACAACAAAATGTCACAAGTGGATAAGATTGTGGTTCATTTTTATTTTCTCCTCTTCCCCTGTATTATTTTCTGCAGGCTGTCTTTATAATTTTTATTTTAAAAGTGACAGAAGAAATTTCCACCAAAAATTATGAGGAAAAAACTTTTCCTAGTTAATGGGTTGGAATTAGCGGGAGATTTTTCTATGTGAACTTTCAGTAAAAGGCTGCTGTGAGAATCAAGAGTCCCTGCCCTGGAGTGGCACTGCATTGCACAGCTGATTGGTGCAAAGTGCCAGCCTCGAATCTCTGTCCCCAGAAGCAAGTGGATAGCCAAGGATTGCAACAGTGCTTGAAACGCAGATCAAAATATCTCAACACACCTGACTTAGAATATCCATTGTTTGTTTTGAGTCTTTTTTTTTTCAACCCTGTAAGAATTACAAGAGAAGTTATGTAATCACTCAGTTTACACTGAAAGCTTTAAAACAAACAAACCAAAAAGGTGCCCTGTATAAGTCCCAGGGTGCATGGGGGTGCTGAGGAGGGTGGACACTGTGTATGAGGAGGCCACAGGTTCATCTCCCATGACATCCCTGGTCACCGACATGCTAGCTGAATCTCTCAGGCCCTATGGCTTCAGCAGAAAGGAGAGCTAGGCGTCCTCAACGATGGTCGGTGGATCTCCTGCTGCTGCCATGACAAGGGCAAACTGTTGCTGCCTCTTCTGCTCTGTGGGCTGCAGGGTCTGTGCAACACGTCTCTGACCACGTTCTGTCCAGACTCAGGACTTCAAGGCAAGTAAGATCAAGAGCAGACTTTGAAGTTTGGAAAAGCTACACAGATGCAAGTTATTTTGATTTTTTTAAAGAAGCTTCTTTCAAACCACAGAAAATAACAAGCCTCAGGAGGTAGTTATGACTTAGGTCAGAGTGGGATGGTTCCTGCTTCAAGCTGGGAAAGCAGGATGGGAGAGAGGAACAGCAGGAGCGATCCTGCCCTCCTCTTGCTGGCCACTTGCTCAGCTAAGCCTGGTCCCTAGGGGCAAAACTGAGGAAGGGCACAGAGCAAGGGCAGAAGCTGGGGTTTGCTTACTTGGAGGAAGAGCAGGGAGAGCTGGGCCCTAGGGGCTGCTGGAGCAGTGAGGTTTTAAGACAGAGGAGACTCAGAGGCTGTCTTTTGTTCCACGCCTATGAGGAACCACAGTAAGTGTGGATGGTTTACGATGAAGTGTGGGGTTTGGACCAGCATTTTCTGGTGGCCCTGCCTTGGCGCCATGGTGGGCTGAGCTCTGTGATGCTGTGGGAGGAGCACTGAGCAGTCTACTCAGGCCTAGGTCCAAGGTGCACCTCACAGGCAACCATCTCAGGGTCTCAGAGCATGAAGTACCCCTAGGCCTGGATTTCCCAAAACATCCTCATCCATCATCACCATCACCACAAAAAGGGAGTTTTGTTGTCAAACAGAAAGAAAAATTCTTGCTGAACACAAGGCAGAACCTCTAACCCAGGTGTGACCCAAAGGCAGTGATTTCAGCATCTGGAGCACAGTTTACTACTCCTAGTGCTCAAGAAAAAGCAAAGCTGAGAGGTTAAGGGATCTTCCCAGGGTCACATAGCCAGCCTGTTTGCTCAAAGTCAAAAGCAGCCCAGAGCTTGTCTCCCTGCCTAACTCACCTGCCCAGGTGACATTCCCAACACCCCAACCACGCTCTCACTCAGGGAGACCTCCTGCCTGTGGCATGGCTGAATGAACACTAGGAAGGGATATTTGTAGCTGAACCTCAGCCGTGTGACCCGGGGCCAAATACCGCACTGATAAGGTGTTGTCTGGAACTACTCACCCCACTGTTACCAAGCATGATAGTACCAGTAGTCCTTTCCAGGCTCTTGTTGTCCTGTTTAAAGAATTAGAACAAATGAAAAACATAAAAATCTAACATTTATTTGAAGGTAGCACGAGAGGTAGGAAAACAAAGAAAAGCAAGTGTATTTGTAGAGCAAGTATGGGCCAGTTAAAGTAGGAAAGAAGTCCGCCCACAGAGTACAGGGTGGGCTCATGGCAGCCACATGGCTAACAGCTAACAGCTACCATCTTTTACACCTCTTCTGATGTCACACCTGGGCAGTCGCACACAGGGCAGCCAGCCGTGACAGACAGGTCTCTGTGACTGACAGGTTACATCCAACTGTCCAGCCGCCTTGCCATGTCCTAATCTCCTGCCTCACTGTGGGTGTCTTTAGCAGTGGTGTATGTGATGGCTCCGTCTGTCCAGAGGCTGGCAGAACAAGAGAATCCAACTCAAGCAGCAGACTTGGGAACTCGCTGTAGAATCACACACTGGGGGTATGGGTGAATGTCCTGCTGCTGTGGCCTCAGACAGGGAGAGGCCAGGAGGAGGACACTTTGTTTAGCTCTTTGCAAGCCAACTTCTAAGTGTGGACTCTACCTAAAAACCTGTCTGGATACGATTAAAGTTTTGCATGACCTCTCTTTCCCTTCATTCTCCTCTCTCCTATCTGGACCAGAAAACAAAGCAAGTGATAATCCCTCCTGTTGGACACAAGTTGGACACAACTTCTGAGCTCCTTGTTGCATTGGTGATAGCCCTTGGGCTCAGGATGCAGGCCACGAAGACAGGGAGCACAAACAGGGGAGGCAAAAGGTCCAGGGGATCGCTGAGCCAAAGCCAAGAGTGCAGCAATAAGAAGAGAAAGGCAGAGTCAGGACGTGCGCTGCCCAAGATGCTCAGGCCTGAAACTCACCAGCACACAGTGTTCCCCACTCCTCATGGGAGGCTGCCCAGGGCGATGCCCAGAGGCCCAAGACAACAGAGCCCTGGCTGCTCCCCTGCAGCACCTCCCAGCATATGGTACAAGCACTGATGGGTAAGTGGGCTGGGTGAGGAAGGCTGATGCCCATGCAGGAGGACGCTGTCCTGTCCCAGCCCCACCTGGCTTGAGTACCCTTCCTCGGTCCCGCCAAGGCCATGGAGAGATACACTGACCTCTGAGAAGGTGAGCTGTGTGTGCTGCCTGAGTGAGTGGAGCCATGCCCATGGCTCTCAGATTTCCAGAGCTTTTCATGTTAATAAGAGCCAGCACCACTCTCATCAAATGCTTGGCACAGGGCAGGTGCTAGTGAAAATACCACTGATGTTGTACAACAGGGTGAGTTAATAACAATGTATTGTTTTTGAAAATTGCTAAGTAAGTAACCAAAAAGAAAATTACATGAGGTCATGCACATGTTAATTTGCTCGGTTGAGCAGTCCATAATGTATACATGTTTCAAAACCTCATGTTATGCATAATTAATATACACGATTTTCATTTATCAAGTTTTAGAAATTAAATTATGTATCACTTAGCCAAGGTCTGAGCTCTGAGAAGGGCGTTGTTAGTAGATTTCCTCATTGTTAGACCAGCACAGGGGGCACTTACACACTCCTAGATGGCACTGCCCGCTACACACCGAGGCCACTGGATACATACCACGTGGGGGCACGCAACTGACCTAGTACAAATGTATGAGGAGCTACTACGATGATCCCCATCTTAGAGATAAAGAAACTGACGCAGAGGGTTTGTGGTACTTGCTCGGGGCCAGCTGGACACAGCCAGGCTTAGAGACCCTGGAAGTTGCCTACTGAGCCTGTGTCCACGTACAGCTGTCATTCCGGATCCCTAGAAACGTGAGTTGAATATGCAATGAAGGCCATAAATCAGAGCTTATCAGAGTACTTTCTTCTTACTAATATGCTAAAAACTTGTCCCCAGAGACTAGGGGTGCAGCCCAGTCATACAGCATTTGCCTGCCAGGGATGTGTGAGCCCTTGGGTTCAATCTCCATGCCAAAGAACAAAGAAATAAATAACTTTGTCCCCAGGATTGGGAAGAGAAAGAAATAGGAGAGAAATGACAAAGCACCGCCCAGACCTGGTCAGCTCCCACTAGGGTGAGGACTACTTCAGTGATCCCCTTTGTGTACCTGTGTATGCAAATCACTGGGTACAGGATGTCACAACCAACACTGCAGTGGCTCTCTCCAGAGGACTAGATTCCAGCTGATACTTTCCTCCTTGCACTTGGCTATGTTTTGCATATTTTAATTTACAGTGAGCATGACTTTCTTTTACAAAAACCCTAGAAGGTCAAAGTTTAATCCTGCTCCCCAGGAGTTCACCATCAAGCTGGGGTGTTGTGGCAAAAGGTAAGTAGAAAAGGGAAAAGGAAAGGCCTGCCCTGCACATGCCTGGCAGGAGGCAAGTGAGGGGTGAGAAGTCCTGTGCCGGCAGCTGGCCTGGCTCAGGACCAGGTAAGGCCTCGCCGTCTACAGGGAGAGACTGGAGGTAGAGTGGTGCCAGCCTGTCTCAAGATTTCATAGTCTCTAAAGGGTGAGCTAAGTGGAAGGCTGGTTTTGGTGTGTCATTGTTTTTATGTGACTGAAAATGTGCAAAATGGTGCAAAGTAGCACATTACTCTTCATTTCTTTTCTCACAAGTGAGAAAATTGCATATTTTGCACCCAGAATATTTCCTGGGAAGGTCTGGGTGTGGTTAGAGGGGTGAGGTCAGGTTCAGCTCAGCTGTGGGAGAAACAAGGAGCACACATGATTCCCCCAAAACCAAAGCACAACAGAAGAGGTTCTGGGAATGGAAACCACAGGTGAGTCAGCAGGGGGACAAGTGGAGATCTACATCCTCCCCCATCACTCGCAGAGTTGTCCCAGGGGAAGGGTCCTGGTCACGGGAGTCCTAATAGCTATCACCCAGCCATGCCCAGGCTGCCAAGAACCAAGCCTGCCTTGCCCCACAGGGAGCCCAGCCCCTGTCCCCATGTGCAGAGTAAAGACACAGCTAGCCACATGCTGACCCCCTGAGCAACACATGCTGAAGAAACAAAGGCCACGTGGCATCTGTCATCATCGCATTTAATACAGTAGTTCAGTGATCCATCCAATCCAATTCACTAATCATAAACAACACGCTTCAGAGTTTTAAAGGAAAGCTCTGCCCACAGAAGTGAGGGGAAGGGAGGACACTCAAGGACGACTTTGCTCAGGCATTTGGGTAGGGGCTGCACCCTTCCCAACCCTCAGGAGGCATGCACGTGACTCCTGCGCTCATCTGTGCCTGGCGCTGGGCCTGCTCTGTAATCACGATCCCACTTCATCCCGAGACCTCCTGACATGTCTTCTGTTATTATAGAGGGTGAGGAACCCAAGTACAGAGAGGTGAAGAAATGTGCCATGGCACCCAGTGGGTGGAGGGCAGAGCTAGACGCCCAGGTGGGCCAGGGTTCATCACCACCCCCGGTTCTGAAATGTCTCCATAGCTTGCCACACCCTGACATCCAGAGAATGCGGAAAGAGCCAGGCATCCAGGCTCCATGCAGAGCAAAGCCCAAGTTAAGTGGCATCTTACCAGGATGTCTCCACTCCAAGGTGTCAGTGATGTGGCTGGAATGGAAGTAGACCGTGAAAGTACATTCCTGGCCCTTCTTGCCAAAATGCCAGTTGAACCTCTCATAGGCCTCGTCAAGTGCAAAGTCAACAGCATCTACAATGCAATAGTGGTGCTGCAAGAGAGAGCAAAGGGAGAGGGGGAGGAAGAGGCACGGAAGGCCAACATGGTCTCCCACTGTGGGGCCCCAGCCCTGACTCAGGAGGTACAGCTTACTGCTGGCTTCTGCAGGCTTAGCAGGCTCCACGGAGGTGGGTGGTGTGGGCTAGGAAATGCCCGGTGTGCGGGTAACCCTAGCTGTGCTCTCGGCTCCCTCACAAGCAGACAGTGTCCTAGAGACCACCCAGCAGCAGCTACCTGCAGCCCCAGCTGCCTTGGAGGCCCCGATACTCCTTGCCTTCCCTCTGCACATGACCAGCCCTGCCCTCTTCTGCTGGAGTTCACCAGGTCCAGGGTGAAGGAGAGCAGAGGGCACCTGAGGAAGGCACAGCCCTTAATGCAGGCCCACCTACCGTAGAGGCCCTGCAGGTGCACTGTACCCATGTGTTTTCCCTGGCAGCAGATTCTCACTCATGTTGGTGTCTAGAGTGGCTGCTCCTGGTCTAGGGGACACCTGTGGGGGAAGCAGGAGAAAGGCCTTTAAGGACACTCTTCCTCAGGCCCCTCAAAAGGATTGGAATAACAGCCACAACCCCAGCAAGTGCTGAGCATCAGCTTGCCAGCAGCTCTGAACCCAGCGTTCCCAAGAGGAGCCAGGGGCAGGCCCTGCAGGGGCACCCACGAGGGGCAACAGCCACCCCCTGGCCTGCTACACACTCTGTCTTTATCTTTATGCTGTTGTTTGCTTTTCATAGAATTTTTAAGTGGTCAGGTAACAGGTAAGTTCTTATCTGCACAAAGCACACAAATGTCCTCAGAGGTGAGCCGGCGCATCCGCACCCCACAGCCGTGCTCTTCTGTTCTCCCCATTGTTCTGGGAGGGGCTCCTCTCGCTCCACAGGGACATCAAGCAGATGAAGAGAGGCCGGAAAGCCAGTGTGGAATGTGGTGAGGTGCTGCCAGAGGAGCCCAGTGAAGGTCCAATATTGAAGGCCTGAAGAGGTGGTGAGAACACCCCCAGCTCTGGGCTCCTGACTGGCCCAGGCTGGGCTGCGCTGCCAGACCCACCTCCATCACCCACTTATTATTATTGTCTTAGGAATTAATTACCCCATTGCTTCAGGCAGAATACAGGAGCTGGAAAAAGGCCGCAGGCAATTTGTCAAAGCCTGCTGAGCAAGGGAAGCAGTGTAGGATGCAGAATAACGGAGGAATCCTCAGAGGACAACTCTGAAATTCCACATTTACCTCGGCTCTGACTACATCTGAAGTGACCGATCCTTGACAGAACTTGGCTGTGATGAGTTCATCAACAGAAGAGGTAAATGAAGAAACTACTTCAAGGGCCCCTCCACAGGCGGAACCGTCTCGTGCCAATCTAGTAACCTGATTCTTTTCAAATCAAAGTGTATGAGAATAAGTCAATGCATGGCTGAGAACAAAGGAAGCAAACTTAGCATGAAAAAAGGATCAGACAAGAAATAGAAAAAAATCGAAAGCATCCCACCATGCCTCTAATGTTGAGTGTGTTTTGTTCCAGATGTTGCTTTTCCCTGAAGGGTGGAAAATGTCTTCCAAAACAGTTTCCCTCTAATGCAAAGGACAGTTTTGTAAAAGTGAAGCTTGACTGGGAGTGGGCAGTAATGTGCTCTCGCAGAAGAGAAAAGAATAGTGGTTACCAGAGCCTGGAGAGGAGGAGAGAGGATGATTAATGGGTGCACAGGAGCTGGACAGGCAAATCACTTCTAGTGCTCTGTACTATGGTGGGCAGCAATTACTGTATATTCCAAACTGGCTGCTGGAGAGGATTTTGTATGTTTCCAACACACAGAAATTATAAGTGTCTGTTATTGTGTGGATTTAAATGTCCCCCAAAGTCTGTGTTTGGAAGATGATTGCGTTAGAGGCACTGTATTCATGAGTGGACTAATCCTGAATGTGCTGTTGAGAGGTGAGCCTGGTGGGAAGAGGTGGGTCACTGGGGACCTGACCTGGAAGGGTATATTCCTGAACTGATTTTCCCTCTCACTCTTCCTCTCACTCCTGGCTGCCCTGGGATGCACAGCTGCCCTCCACCAGGCCCTCCCACTATGCATTTCTGCCACGGAGCCAGCCAGCGATGGACTGAACCCACTGGAAACTGTGAGCCAAAAGCACCTCTCTTCCTTTAAGTTGTGGGTGTCTAGTATTTTGTCCCAGTGATTGGAAAGTGACTGATACAAGGCCCGAAGCAATGAATGTGCCAATTACTCTCTGACCATTCCACATTGTACATACTGAAATATCACACTGTACCACATAAATGTGTACAACTAATAGATGCCAATTTAAAAAATGTACACATTTTAAGAATTGATGATAATAAAGCCCATGGTGATGAAAGGAATTAGCAAATAGAAAAGGTAGAGATAAAGAGTGAAAGCTGAGTTACTCAGATCAGAAGCCTATAGAGAAGACTTAAAATATTGAAGATACCTACGCTCTTCGTTTCAGAGATAAAAGAAGGTTTTAGAATAGGATCGACCTTCTGTTTCCTGAGGCATTTCAGAGGCAATGAAAGAACATTTTGTATGTACAAGATGTGATCAAAATATATGGTGAATATTTTAAATTTTCTTAAATTTATTACAGCAAAAGATATATTACCATTTAGCCCCCTGAAAATATGGCCCTCTCTTTGAACACACTTATCCCATGGTTCTTGCCACTTTCTGAAGCCATTCTGGAAGACGTCTTTCCTGAGTGTCTTTACAAGGTGCGATTAAAAACTATGGTGATGCTGCTGCTCGGTGCCATCCAACAGAAAAGCAGGCTAGTAAAAGTGTATAATGTGTCGTTAGCTACCTTTGTCACTGAATCCAGCACTGTGTGGCCTCTGGCTCTTCCCCAAAGTCAAAATGACCACGAAAGGTAAACGTTTGGAATCAAGACATCAAGGCAGTCATAACAGTGCAACTAAAAACACTCACAAAAGAAGACTGACTTCTGGAACTGCTTCAGAAAGTGGTGAGGATGATGGGATAAATGTGTGTGAAGCAAAGGGAAGTATTTTGAGAGGGATTTATGGCAATGTCTTTTACTGCAATAATTTTAAAATTCTAAACCATCATATTTTTTAATCACACCCCATATCCTATGACAAATCATGTTTTTAAGAATATCCAAAATTTCTGGGAGTGAAAAGTCTACAGAGTAAAAAAATTAAAGTTTCCAGTTACTCTCAAACTCTTACTCTCAACACGCTCAATGGTTTAGTATGCTACCTTCCAAAACTATACATTTGCATACATTTATAGTAAAAATCTACCACGCATATCATTGCACAGCTTGCATTCTTTATATAATAATTTGTCATGAAGGTCTTTGCACAAAGAGCTTTTGTAATTGTATACAATGCATTAATTGTATATAATGCATAGCTTTTTTTAAATGCTGGGTGCCTCCACTGTGTCAAATACCCAGAATTCCAGGAAAGAATCATAATTTGCAGGTGACTGGGGGTGGGGTGGGGATGTACCAGAAATCAGGAGTTGAGTTTCAGTTCAGAGATGATCCAGAGGGGACTTCAGGTCAGCCAGTGTCTTCCTTCCAGCCAGACTGCCTCGGGCTCCCTTCAGGGCTGGGCCAAAGATAGAAGTCCCTTGCAATTTCTTATCTCTCTCTCCTCCTGGGTTGAAATCCCATCCACATCCTGGAGAGCTCAGCTGCACCCTGTGTGACAGGAGACCCACAGAGCTGAGCACAAGGCTGTGGGGGACACAGCACTCCCCCCAACCCCGCCCTGGAGCCTTTCCCACCAACAGGCACCTCCCCCACCCCCCACAGGTCTTTTGGAACGGGAAGTCCTGGCCTTGCACCTCACCCTGCTCTGAGCTCAGCCCCGGGCTTCTGATTCTGTGTCAAAAACACAGAATCTATTGAGGCAAGAAAGCAGGATTCGCCTGAGTCACGCCACCTTCCATACACAAAATAGCTCATCCACA